AAGTAACAACAAAAGCAGCTGTCATTCGAAATGAATTGGAACGGACATTCTGTTAGGAAACAGAACCTGCCGAAAAATTAGCAGTAGATCAACACGATAAACTTTCTTTCAAGTGAAAACGCGGTGGAGACTCGAGCTCCGAGTCAATCAAGAATGAAATGGGGAAAAGTTGTCCACTGGAGTCTGAACGCGGCGAACTCGAACCCTCAAGCGAAACTTCCATCCCTCAACAAAAGGGATGAAGGAGAAAACCAATTTCGCCCTTCTGCCTGAAACCGAAGGTGAACGACCTGACACTACTTACTATAGACCACGTTCTTTTATCTGATCTACAAAAGAAAAACGTTGTAAAGCCATCTTTGACTTAGTCGCGTTAAACGATCACAGTAACCTTTTTGGGAAAGGTGAACGAGTTAAGTTCCTTTTCGGTTCGGCACGAACAAGAAACTGTAGATAAGCTAAATGACGTTTCGTACCAACCAGACTCGGAAGGTTTGCGAATGCCTAAAATTTCGTAGGAGAATTGCCCAAGACACCTGAGTAGTGTAAATTTACCAAGGAAAGTAGAAGAATCCCCAATTCATCATTTATCTATACTGGTGCCTGGTACTGAACGGTCAAAGGGGATTAAATATAGCTATAGCTACTTCATGAATGATGTAAATCCAACTTGTAATGAGGTAGTTTTTTCTGATTTTAAAGTCAAATTAAATGTTTATGTACATGTTTATTTTGAGGTCAAATGTAGTAGTTCTCATCCAGGTGTTGGGTTACCATTGAGAGTTTATCACAAACAGAAAATTAAAAATCTGCAAGGTTTCCCTTTTCAGTGTGGCTAAAAACATAATTAATGTTAAATTTGGAATGTATATTGTATGTTGTATATTACATTTTTTCAGAAAATTATACGTTCTTTATTTGTATGTGTATAATTAAATTTATTTCTCGGTATTATGTTGATTATATGCTTTTTTTTTTTACTGGCCTCAATATAATTCTTGTTATATATTTATCCTTGGTACTTAGCCCAGTGTTGTTGTAAAATGTATTAATGCTAATAACTAATTTGCTAATTAGTTTACTTTGAAAACTTGCTGTGGTAGCTACCGGGAATTGGAGTTCTGAAAACCCCCGCCCCCGGGAGAAAAGGGGTTGTGACGTTACAGCTACTAGCACCCCCGCGGGCACAGGTGCTGAATTATAACTTCCTGTTTTGTTCGCGGACGAAATGGACCATACCTGCAAAAAGCAGGACTGCAGATAAAACCCCCTGGGAGTTTCCGGACACAAGGAACTAATTATGTTTCTCTTCGCAGATAACAAAACGAGTGAAATCTTTGTGTAAGAGTTCTTCATGTGATTTTGAGGTGACAGGACGCATCTTTTGCGTTCTAAACCACGCCAGTGGTTTCTGTAGAACAATAGTTTTTTTTATGCTGTAACTACAGTAAAAAGGACTTTTTTGCGTCCAATCTGCGTTAGCGGATATTGTATGATTTAGGGCTGTAATGATCAGTTTTTTTATGTTTTAATCAAGAAATCTATTTTAGTTTATCAAATAAATAATTTAAAAGACAACCTGTCTTTCTTTTTCACCCGACACGGTGTCCTGACGTTTACGTGGCTCTGATGAGATGGTATGTATTCGCATACCAAAACTAGTAGCCTCAGAATTTGAAATTTTGTATATGGATAACATGTAGTGCCCTCGTATGGTTCAATCGGCCACACGATAATATATTTTAAATATATCCACTCTGTTACACGGCTCAGTAATCTCAGTTTCTTTACTCTTATATGTTTATAAATTGTACATTTTTTTCTTTAAAAATGATTGAATTATGTTGCTTTTATCTTCCGGTTAAGGGTTTTATACCTTTAGTAAATCTGTATGCAATATTTTTAGAATTATCAACAATTTAAAATTTGTTTAAGTGCTGCTAAGCCTATTTTGATGGCAGCCATTCCTTGTTTACATTTGAAACAGCTGAGTAGTGAATTTGTTGTCAATCTAGAGAAACATAGCTAACGTAGAAACGTAGCAAAGATAAACGCCTTCATTTATTATTGCAATTTAAATCATGCTTAATCCTTTCTGGAATTTTTTCGAGGAAATGAGTTTTTAAGATTTACTTAATTTTTAATAATTAGTAATTTTTAGTAGAGATATTTTGAGTTTTTATGTATTTTTGCCTTGTCACAAAGGGAGAACTGAATTAATTGAATGAGAAATACTCAATCGTCTGTGAAAAACTGTTTCTTTTTTGTTTTGTTTGCTTAATTTCTTTTATACATTGTTCTAGCTTTATTATAGTACTAGAATAGAACATGTGGCAACGATTAGATAATTCTTTAAATGATACAAATTTTGTGCATTCTGAGTTATAATATGAACGAAATATAATACTGTTAAGTGAACCTAGTGCCAGAGTGTCGCTATGGTAAACAAATAGAGTGAATTTTAAAGAATGCACTTATTCTATTCTGGTTTATGCGCTGTCGGTGAAGTAGTTATAATTAAATCCCATAAGTTTAACCCTTTGCGGCTCAGTGTTCCACTACATGGAACACTTAAATTGAATCACTTCTGAAACCTTTAAATTCAACCGTAAATAAATAAAAATGCCTTTATAATATACTTTGAACTTTTTTTTTAAACAGTAGATAGCAGAATATCACAAGGAGACACAGAATTTTCATTTATTATGTGTTATTAAAATCCACTTTTTTCAAGTAATTTTCTCTATTTTTTAATGATATAAAAAATTTTATTTGGAAAAAAAATTAGGCATAATTTTGCTGTCTGTACTCCAGATTATTTGTTCTATATTTTTTTTTAATCTTTCATACAAAAACCATACACTTCTACTCATTTTCGTGCTGCACTGCAATGCTCGCTTAGTCGCACTTTTAAAAGCTCTGGCAGCGCAGTGTTCCACCTCATGGAACACCCACAGAATTAAAACGGTCAGTGCAATTTTTACAAAATTTTACCTGTATACTCCTTTAGGACTAAATAGACTGCATACAACTTTTTTTGTTGAAATTCCGACGTTAACGTATAATGCGCCGCAAAGGGTTAAACAAAATGCAAGAAAAAATGCATATAATTTAATATTCCATACAAGGAAGTCATGTGGTGTACACATCAGATTTTTATTTTAGAGAAACCTTCATCTTAAGGCTGATTTAAATTTTTAAACAAGATTATAGTCTCATCCTTTGTCTTTTTTTAGACACAGAAGAAAGACATGTGCACTGTCTAAATAGATAAGATTCTATAGCTAAAGTTCATCTCACATATGATGTCTGGGATTAAATGAGCTGTTAATGAGATTTTCATCATTTGCCATATATATGATGTAAATTTGAGTCAAATTCTCTTGTAACATCTTTTTCAAGAACATTCTTGGTAAGATAATTATCTTGTGTTGCCTTAACCCTTTGAAGGCACTGGTATATTAAATATACCAAAAATCAGTCAATTTTTTAACCTCCTAAAAATGCTATATTTTTTTACACGTAAGCTGTAATTTTAAGTTTCTAGTGTTGTTTTTTTTGGGGGGGGTACTAGAAGATAGTACTACCCTATCAACGCTCAATATTTTACAGCTGTTAAATTAATATATCTCATTCGAAGGTCTCGTGTTTCAAAATTCATAAATTGTACTGAAGGGGAGGCATTCAAAATCTGTAAATGTGCAACATATGCAGCCTGAACTTTATATATTTATTGATTTTCAATCAAAATGGATGATTAAAAGTAGATTATTTAATGATTTTTAAGAATGTTATATAAATTATACTAATGCCAATGCAAGACTTGTCATTATTGGCCATTGAGCTTGTCTTTCTTCTTTACTTTTTGTGGTGAGAATGTTTATTTATATTACAGCTGTTTATGAAAGAGGCTGATACTGGGCCAAGAGGCCTCATAATAGGGGGAAAAAAAGAGCTTCAAATGTCTCTAATTAAGCGCATGAAGCCTCTAGTAAAGAGCTATTCTTCCCGAACAAAATCTTATATTACTACCTTATTTATATAAAAAAAAAAATTAAAAGGGTTCCCTACAGGGCTGAATATAGGAAAAAAAAAAAAAAAACGGGGGGGACTTTGAGGTGTATTAAATATAAAATAGATGCTCAATCAGAAGTGTGGATGTGGGAGGAGGGAGTTCTGAGAATCTGATCATAGCAAGAGGAATGTTCTTTTTATGGATTATATAAAGTATAAAATATAATTTCATAAAAGTAAATTTTCATTTTTCAGCTTGCATTTCCTTATAGCATTATGCTGTTACAGGCACTGCACGGTACAGTTCATGCATGCAATGTTATATTTATTAAATTTTTGATAAAGTAATAATATTGGATGCAAATCTTTTTCAAAAGCTTTTTTCACATATTTTGCATAGATGTGTTCAACTGCATAGCATCTTCAAAGTGCTGAAAATGTTAACTTTCTTTCTAAAAATTTTTTACTCTAAATCTAAGTAATCACATTCAACTACCCATTTCTTTAGATACAAATTAAAAATATGCAAAAGTTGGTTAAAAAAATAAAAAATTAACTATTGGCAGCTACATGGAAAGTCTTATGTGGCAGTGGTAAAAGTATCAGTCCTCAAAATTTAGGATTTCACTCTAGTTTATTTTAAGCCTCAATTTTATGTTCTTAGGATTCATTTGTTAGAGTTTACGTAAAATTTTACCACAATTTAAATTCATCTATATACCACCCATGAAAGGGGTATTAGAATAGTCTTGTTGTTAGGTATTCAATGATGTATCTAATAACTTCCTTCTTTACCATCAGTAGAAGGAAATTCAGTAATCATGAAATTTTTCAAATTTACTTTGAAAATCACTTGTCCTTCATCATAACAGTGTCTGTACCTTTTTTGTGTGAGTATCCTATATAGTTTGGAATTTTTTAAAATCAGAATTGGGTAATTGTTTTAAATGAAAACTGTAATTGTGTTCCTTTTTAAAAACTTCCAGGTTTGTCATGCCAATCCATCTGAAAGATCCCGTTTCATTCGCTGTATTTATAACCTTCTGAATTCAAGCAGTCCTTCAGTTCGATATGAAGCTGCTGGGACACTGGTTACATTATCTAGTGCTCCAACGGCTATCAAGGTAAGTAAATTATCACTTTTTCCTTATGCAGCTCTCCTGTATAAAGATTTTCAGTAATCTTCTTGTCAAAATTAGATCATTATGTTCCAAGGAAATTATTTTAAATCATCAACATAGCTTATTTCAAAGAATCAGGTTGAAAAATTTTAAATAATTTGTGTGAAATTCAGCGTAGAATATTGGCCAAATCATATCTTTAAGGAATTAGCTATTTATTTTAAAATTTAAGCATATTTAAAATATAGTCAGCTTCTGATTAACTGGTTGGTGAATTAACTGAGCTTTGTCTTAAAAAAAAGTTTAGTTATTGGAAAAAGATGGAAAGTTGGATAAATTAAAACTTTGTGTATTTGTCTGCTGATTTATGAGCTCACATTATTAGCCCAAATAGGCATTAGCCCAAGATGGCTAATAGTCTCAAAACAGCATATAGCATTGAATCGCTTTAAATGTCTAAATCACTTTTCAGGTTGTTGCCACTAAATATTATTGCTCTGTATTATATTTAAAGAAACTAAATTATGAATAATCTATGTAAATGTACGTGTTTCTCGCATTGTGAAAAAACAGCTGTACTTAGAGTCGTCAAATTTTGAATAACGTAGTCTTCCACCCGAACATGGACATCTGGAAGCCCGAATTCTTAATTTGTTTTATTGTCTATTTAATATTTTATTAAACTTTAACGAATATTTTATTGAAAAACTCAACAATTTCAAAGCAAGCAGTGGCAACACTAGGGAATAAAACATTATTTCCAGGTTGTGAGACTGTCTATCAGAAATTTTTTTTAAGATATGCTGTTTTGTGATAATGCACAATGTGGCATTATACAAAATTTTCTCGAATTGTGTTTGTAATTGAAAAAACGTTATGCCCGTTTGGGCTTAATATAAAATCTGAAAGCTTTGAGATTTTTTTTGTCTTATATTTTCATAAATAAATTGTGTATTATGTTATAATTGCATATTTTAAGTTTAGTGGTTTGCATTCTTAACAATGTTTTGAATTTGTTCCATTTTCTAAAAAAGATGCAAGCGTTTAAATTTTCTAGCTGTATTCAGGCCTGACAAGGAAGACAATATTTGAAATGCATTTATTGTGTTGCTTAAGTAGTCTGCTTTACATTTTTATCAATGTTTTGTATTTGTATCCATTGCTTTTAAAAGTACCAGAGTTTTAAAATTCTAACTGCAGTTAGGCTTAATGAGCAAGACAGTTTTTACATTTAAGCAAGTTGGAGTGAAAGTGAATTCAGCCATCGAGTTTTGCATTTGACTTTTTTCCTTAAGAGTGTTTTTAGCATAATTTGCCCACTGGGAAATTTTTAAAAAATAGCTAAATAAACAAATATGAGACTTAATTTTTTTTTTTTTTAGTCACTTCTCTTGAGCTCTGAACTTTCTTTATAGCTTTTGTGTAGTTGTCAACATTTTGCTGATGTGTATGTGTTTTTTGAAAGATTATGTACTAGATTTTATTGTTAAAGCCTTGCTGTGATAAAATAATTTATTTTGCAATACAAGTGGTTAATAAATAATACATAAAATAGGTTCTAAAAATAGCAAAAATGTTCAAGTGGTAGCGGATGAGAATAATATTAAACTGATTGGAATGATTAATCTCAAAATTATTGTGACTTGGCTTTTATTTTTTGATATTTTTATTGTATTTCTTCTTTTGGATTTTAAATTTCGTTTATATTTCTATTGTATTTTAATTTGTGTTTTATTCTCGTGAAGTTATTAAATATTTATCATTGTTCAGTTGCAGCATGCCATCTGTCAAGTATAAAGAAATTATTCAACAAGACTTATGATGTGATAACTGTACGGGAATCATATTATTGAAAATAAATTTGCATGTTTGAAAAGGGTTGGAGAATGGGGATGATGAATAGTTGTAGATCAGCTGTTGTGTTTGCTGTTAAAAATAGTAGATTTCTGGCAGATTTGATTTCAGATAAATTGTTGCAGTTTATGTTTCTATTCAGAATGATTTTATGGCAATTGTTTCTGTATATCTCTCTCCAGCAGAAGATTTGCACGAAAATTTAATTAAGTTGGAGGGTGTTATTAAATGTTATAACTATTTTCTTGTATTAGGAGATTTTCAACTCTATACATTTTAATTGGGAAGCCAGGAGTATAGATAATAGTGAAATTTTAGTTTTTGGTTTCAGTTTACACAATAATTTGATTCTCTTCTCCAATTCATTGCCTACTTTTGTATCGCCAGCTGGGGAAGGTTGGACGGATTTAATTTTAGAGTCCTTTAGAATGTTCTAGATGTCTGTGGAACTAATTATTAAACAAGAAGAGTAGTTGAGTGATCATAAATACATTTCCCTTAATTTGAATGAAAAATGTTTGGAATATGGATGGGAAAATTAGATTTTCATGTGATATACAAAGAGTTGAAAGATATGCTAAAGGTTTAAGGAGTAAAATGAAGAATTCAAGTAAGAAATTAATAAATATTGCAGAGAAAGATGAGCTTAATGACTTTATTGTTAAATTAGAAAATATATTAGTTAATAGAGCCAACAGAGTTCTGAAACTTAAGAGGAAAGATAGGAATGTTGTTCTGTGATGGACACAGGAGCAGCAGAGATTAAAATGATAACAGATTAAAAATATTGATGAAAATGTTCATATAGAAAGGAAGATATTATATAAAAAGGAACTAACTGCATATAAGAAAGTGAGTAAAATAGGATTCATTGTTGGGAGTGCAAAATATTATGGAGGATTTCTTTATGTGGCTAGTGGTTAAACATGCGTTTCAGAAATGAATAATCATAAAAAGGTAATACTGATGTGAATAATTTTGAGGTAATTAAGGGTTATTTTAATAGGAACTCTGACTGTGACTTTGTTGAAGATTGTGTTTTTGGGTGTGGATTTGTTGCTAGATGATAGATGTGCTTTTGATGATCTGTCATTTTGTTTGGAAGCTAAGAAATTATGTAATCATAGTGCTCCAAGACCGGATGGAATCATAGCCACTATGGTAAAATTTTATATTGGAAAAATTCTGATTAATTTGTGTAATTATATAATAAATGCCTTGATTTATGCTATCTTCCTAAAGAATGGAAAGTTTCTAGAGTTTATGCAGTAGAATATCAGAGACCAAATGTCTGCGTAGGAGAATTGGTTATGTTTGTTGACAGTTCGGGATATAACAATGGAATTGGTGTAGCATATGTCATTTATTTGTTTGGTGTAGAAATAGACTATGGAAAAATTTACTTGAACCTTACAGTTCGGTTTTTAAAGCTGAATTGGCTGCTATCATATTTGCTCATAAATGTATTTTTGAAAACCTGACCATAAAAATATATTTAATATACATTCAGACTCACTATCTGGTTTGGAAGCAGTGGTAGATGCAGATAACATTAATATTTTAATCTCATACATAAAAGATCTCTTTGTAAAAGTTGAGAAAATACATGAAGGGAAAAAGACCTGGGTAAATGCCGATATTGATCTTATAGGCAATGAAGAGGGCTGACATGCTGGCTGTAGATGCTGCTATGGGTAATGCCAGGAATACATTCGATATTCAAGCATAAAAAAGAATTGTTATTGGTATTAAATAATAATTATCAAAAAGAACTGTTATTGGTAAATTAATTCTGTAATTTTTGTAGTGCTGAAGGCAGTGCATGACATTTCATCGAAGACTGCATATTATTGCAACATGTTAATGAAAAACATGGCAACAGAATTCCTTTATGTTGCCAGGAAAGAGCTTAGTTTGCAAAAGATTTGATGAACTTTATAAATAGCAATAAAACAATGCAATTTGATTTGATGTTTTCACAGTATTTTTGTTTTAATCTGTGTTGGGTATGCTGCATCAACCATGAGGCTGATTATTATTAGCCAGGAGGGATGCAGCACACTTGTATATTACATTACCATCTGGGTAAGCAATATTGCTGCAGGAAATACAAAAAAGAGAACAAATGTGACAGACTGAAGTTATAGTATTCAGAAATTCTTTTTACCCAGAACAGTACAGAATTTAATTTTGCATAGTCTGAAGTATTATTAACATTATTAAATTATCATTTAAAAATAAATTGTTAAATTGTAAAAAATAAATTATGTGTACAGCTATTAATCTTTTGTCATCTGCCATCTTCGATCAAAATTCAGGTATAATGTAAGAAAAACATCATTCTTTCTGTTTTAAAATGTTTTCTTCTTGTTTAGATTACTGATTTAATTTACATAGCCAAATAAGCAATCTTCAAATTAAACTGCTTAAAAATACAGGTAAATTGTTAGTAGTATTTTCTGTTAATTTATAAATGTAGTTTATATTTCCCTTTCCTGTGTTCTTTTAACTGCTGTCAGATGAACTACCTTTGAGCTAACAGTGGACATTATTTCTGGTATTATTTTGGTTAATGAGTTTATATTATATTATGGTAGATTATTATTGATCTTAATAGTAACTCATCTGAAGAGGTGTTTTTTTTTTTTTTTTTTTTTTTTTTTTTTTTTTTTTTTTTTTTTTGTGTGTGTGTGTGTGTGTAATGAGTACACAGTGTACAAAAACAATGTACAAAAGCAAAACAAACAAAACAAAAGCAAACAAAAAAACTTTCATTGAATAAGCACCATTTTATTCTATGCCTTTTTGCCATTTCTCAGATAGCTGGAAGATTCCTTTTTTAAAAAAGTCGTTAAGTTTATTTGTAAAAATGTTATTGGCATGCTGTTTTACAGTCTCCAGCCTATTAAGATAATTCTGAAGTCACCAGAAGAGATGAAAACCTAAGAGGGCATGGTCTAATGAAAGTGAAGGGGGGGTCATGACACGAAACAACTTGGCTATAAACAATAAGGTTTAGTGACACTGTCATCAAAATATGTGGCTAAGCATTGTCATGATTTAAGAGAACACTGTGTAAGATGTTCTTTTAAATTCAGTTCTTGTTTAATTATTTTCACCTTAGTAAAAAGAAGGAATTTCATAAGAAAATTTTTTATTGGCTTTCAAATTAGTTGTAATGTTTGTGCAAGTTTGAATTAGTTGTAATAGATTTTTTTTACCATTAACCCTCTGAGTGGCATGGGATTTTGGATTTGTCATGAAGACCTATATTTAAAATCATTTATCATCTAAATTTGTACAATTATTTTTTTAAGTGTCTATTTTCATTTTATTTATTGAGATGGCATTTATGTTATTAAAAAAGTAAGAAAGCAAAATATTTTAAATTATAAACTAATACGTACCCAGTGACCAAAAATCGCATGACTTGATAAAGCCCCTTGGGCCATTTAGAGGGTTAAAATATACTTGTGCTTGTAGTAAACTTCAAAATTGCATGTCTCTTTTATTATATTGAATAGGGTTCTACCTTCGGAATTTATTCCATTGTTTATTATTTTGCCTCTGAAATTCTAACACTTACATACAAATGCTCCATGTTGCATCATTTGAAAATATTTCTTATAATAGTTTTTCAAAGTGGGCTAATTGCTATGAGTTATGCCAAAATATTGATGTTTTATCCCATTTAATGCACATATTAGACTGATATCAAATTAATTTTTAATCAGCAAGTTATGAATTTATAATTTGTTTGAAATTGAGATTTATTTTTAAATTATGTCTTTTTGAAATTTTAGGCTGCTGCAAGTTGCTATATTGAACTGATTGTAAAAGAAAGTGACAACAATGTAAAACTCATAGTTTTGGATAGATTGATTGCGTTAAAGGAGGTTCCAGCACATGAGCGAGTACTACAGGTAAGAGCATTCACATGCTTAATTTGTTTTGACAGATTTCATGTTTGTGATAACTTTTGGGGATGGAGAGAAACATCTGTATTAAATTTCTCATGCATCACATGTATGTAATATGTTAAAATGTTAAAAAATTTATAAATTCAATGTTTAAATAGAATAAATTAAAGAAATTTTCTTCTGTTAAAAAGATTAGAAATATTTGTAAACTTTGAAGGATAATTCAAATAAATCTGTATTTCTGTCAGTATTATTGCATCAGTAAAGAATCAGATGAAAATGAGATATTTACCTGTTCTTCCTTTTGAACTGTCTGTTGACCATGATCTGTTGTTAATATTATAGTACTTTGTACATAAAAGTGTTCATTATTGTGAATGGCTTTTGATTCATGTCTTTTAGTAAATTATGCAAAATATTAAAAAGATAGTTTATCTAATTATATATCTAACAAATATATGCATGCTTATTATGCTAGTTAATATTTTAAATAATTAAGAGTAATTGGTAAAAGATTCTTAATGGTAAATAATGGAGAAGCGTATCTTAAGTGTTTTGTTTCTTCATTCGTTGTTAGTTACAATAAAATCTTAGGAATTTGAATATTTTGGATAACTGTATGCATACTTAAATTTCAGTCTTCCAATTCTTGTATAATAGAAAAAAGTCTTGTTAACTTCGGAAAACTAATGGGGTCATTTAATTCATTATATTTGACTGTGCTTCAAACTTTTTTTATTTTGAATATTTTTTATAAATTTAGTAATAAAGTGTTTAAGGTTATTTTTAAAATAATAATTGCAAAATTTAATACTAAAGTTTAATTCTGTTGCTAACTGGTATGGTGGTTAGGGTGGTAAGTATCGCACCAATGGGCCTGCCCGGGCTTGAATCACAAGGAAGACACAAATGTTTGTAAGCATATATTGTATGCATTGCAAGGGAGCACTGAAAATAGATGACAAGCTGAAAGTCATCTTGAGAGGGTGGTGGTAGGGAAAGAGGGGTGAAAGACCTTAGGAAGCCCCCTCAAAGTTGTTCTACTCCAAATTTGGGATGAAACTGTACAGTTAGTGCAGTGAAACTAGTATCTGTATGACTAGTGGTGAAATTCTGGTATTCTGCCCATTTCTACCTGTAGACATTTAAAAGTTTAAAAGAGTACTTTTGTTATCAGACAGCCCTAGTAGTAAGGAGAAGGATGGTATCAACAGTATCGCCGGTTAACATTTAACATTTTTAACATTGTTTAACATTTTTAATGTCTTTAGGAGTAGCACTTTCTTGAGGTACTTAGCAGGCAAAATGGCATTTTTTAAAAGTTAATTCAGCATTTGTGTTTAGCATTAAAGATTTATTTTCATAACATAATTTTCCCTTTCCTTGTATAGATATTATTCTGTTATTTAGTAAAATTTTATTATTTTCTTATTCTTTAAGTGTATTTTTGAGAAGTTGGCAACAACTGATTTCCCAGCTGGTTATATGCTTGTCACACAGCTGTTGTTTTCTCAGGGTGTCATCCTTCTTGGCAAGCATGGGGTCATGATGCCAGAGTTATTGTTTATTGCATGCTGTGAATGCTGAATTATTAATTGCAGCAGGTATTTTAGCTACAAGTAGAGAATGTATTAAAAAATTAAGAATTTAATTAAACAAGGAGGGAAATGTATTAAAAAATGTCATTAAACACAGTTATTAAAGTATGGAAATTTTGCAGTTACTATTTTAGAAATCACCTGAAGCACTTTATTACTAGATTTATGCCAAATAAATTATCTGTTTTAATGACAAAATAAGTATTTTGTTATTTTCAAAATTTAATTTAATTTAAAATATCTCAAATAACTATATGTATTTGATAGAGTTAATTATATACTTAATGACAATTTACAGGAGCACAATTTGTTTTATGTATAGAAGCATATTATGCTGACTTGGAACAAAACACTAGAAATTCATTGTTTGCACAATGTGCTTACTACTATTGAACTAATTACCCAGTAATATAAATTGGACTCTAACTTTGGATGAATTAGACAGCACTTTTGAATTAAATTTTGCTTGAAATTTGAATTAACTGAATTTTAAATTTCTGATTAACATATCTTTCTTGTCAGGCAGTAAACTGGCCAATCATATTTTATAAGCCTGTTGCTTAATCTGAAATTCTAGCATTAATCTTATTTTGTGTTGTGATTTATCTCACTTGTCTGACAGTAGCATCAAAACAACTAGGAATTTTATCATGGAAAGGAAGTACAGAACTGCATCTGAGCTTTTGGCTCTTTATAGGTGACAGTATAGCTTTTCCCTATTCTGTTCCAAATAGCCTTAAGTATTATGCTCTGCTAAGGTGATTAGGGTTCAAGGAAGAAGTATTTCTAACTTAATTCCCCCTCGTAACTGAAACTTATCTAGCAAGTGGCGACCATGCTTGCAAAATCTAAACATGCCTATAAATCACTGAAACATATACTTTTCTGTAATGTTGACTAAAATGGCTTTTTAAGTATTTGCATATAATAATTTTCAAAGAAATACAGGATGACTGTTATTTTTTTTTTTTTTTTATGTACAACTGATGGCATATAATATACTTAATTAGGATATATTGTGCAATCTCAGTACGTGATGTGTAACATTAAAGAACTTTAAATGAAGCTTTTTGCATATTTTACAGAAGGAATATCCAGCTTTTATATCCAAATCCTTTATAGTTCAACTTTGTATGTAATATACTAATAAAAACGTATTTTGATGTTTTGTTATCACTAATCTTGTAAGAAATGGAAAGGATCTTGTTAGTTAAAAATATACAAGTTATGAAATTTAATTATTTAATTTCATATTTACTCTTTGTTACAAATTTAGCAAAATTAATAATAAATATTACTTAAATCATACTTCAGGTATTTAAATAATTATGGAATTTACTGTTAGAAATGCTCAACTTTTACAAATATACTTTTTTATTGTTATACAGCATGTAAATATTGCATTTTATACTGTATATGTAAACCTTTAGCATTTATGTAGATAACTTGTATTTTATAAACACATTTTTAATAACATTAAAATATGCATAACAGTTTTCAAAAAGTAATACTTAACGGTACATAAAAAGCAAGTAGAATAAGGATATATTTTTTTTATATACTTTACAATTGAGTTAAATGCACTCCCTCGAATTTGATAAATATTGAGACCAGTGTGCACAATGCAATGCAAGTTAGTTAGTAGATAGGACATAGATAGAAATGAAAGTATGGTACTTTTTTTTTTTTTTTTTTTTTTTTTTTTTTTTGTAAATTTTGATGCCCTTTAGATCATAATGGCTCTTTATTTCATAAATTATGGTTTCATATTTTTAATTTTATAATTTCTGCATGCCATCTTACCAGATTTAAACTGATGATCTATGATCCGAAAAAACTGATAATCTGGAATCGCTGAAGTCTCGACGAGTCCTGATTAAAGACTTTTGACTGTATCATAGTTCTATTATTTCAGAACACACTGTGTAATGGTAGAAGATTTCTCCATCAAAAATAAAACTTTGTGATTTTTTCTCTGAAATTTTATTTCTGTCTTTACAAGTTTTTTTCCATGTTTTGTAAGAGGTGTTTTGATTAAATACATCTGTGTAATTCGTTTAGGACCTTGTTATGGATATCTTAAGGGTTCTTACTGCATCTGATTTGGAAGTGAGAAGGAAAACTCTGAATTTAGCACTGGATCTTATTTCTTCTAGAAATGTTGAAGAGGTACTATCACAAAGTTCTTGCTAATTTCTCATTTCATATTTTTATTCAAAAAAAATACCTATGAATTGAATTATTTTTAATTACCATTTTATTTCACTATTATTTATTTTAAGAATATTTGAGTGAATTATTTTCTCTATAAAAAGGATTAAAATTATTTGAGAGTTATTTGTATAACTTTTCAAGAATTCATCTATCATATAAAATATATATGTTTATAAAGATATCATTTATTTATTATCCACATTATTTTCCTTTTTTTGTGAATATGATTATAATTAATGTTTTTCAGTCAAACATGTTAAATTTAATGTCTTAGTGTAATATTTATTGATTTCATGTTTCAGATGGTTTTAGTTTTGAAGAAAGAAGTTACCAAAACTCACAACACAGTTGAGCATGAAGACACAGGAAAATATCGCCAACTTTTAGTTCGAACTCTGCACTCATGTTGTGTAAAATTCCCCGATGTTGCTCCTACCATTATTCCTGTTGTAAGTATGTTATTTTTATTTATTTCTGTTCAATAATAGCGATGGAGCTATAACTATTGAATACTTTTAAAATAAGTAAATCATTACTGTAATTGTGGGGCTGTATACGAGGGTCACTCTGAAATTTTTGACATACACATAGATTTTAAAGTTTTACACTTGCAAACTTTTAGAAGTGTTCAAAGTAGTCTCCTCCAGTGTCAATGCACTTCTGTAGGCGAATTTTAAAAGATTAAATGCCTCAACCCATTCATTTCTTGGAAACTATGAAAAAAGTGCATTCATAGCCTCATCAGTCTCATCTTCAGAATGAATACGACAGTAAGATCTGAGATACATCATAAAGCTAATGTAAAGTTGTAGGTCATTAAGGAAATAATGCACAGGGTAATAACACTATAGAGTGGATAATGCAATTGTAATGAAAATTATGCCCCTCTCTGACATCAGTTTTCGTTAGTTTTGCCATCAAACCTTCAATTAGAACAACAAATATAGTTTCATAAGTTAAGCATAACTGAACAGCAGAATAGATTGGATGATGAGTAAAGGAAGATTCATACCCATATTCCTGCCAGCATTTTTAACAGCTGTATTTCAATTAGTGATACAGGTCAAGCTTTTATCAGTTACACATTATCTAATTTGTAATGGAAATTAAATGTAACATATTGTACATGTTCATATTTTAGGTCAATGTTGCCAATTCTGGCATCTATTTTACTCCTGAGTATATGAAAAAAGGTATCTCCCAACTAATAATAACCCCAAGAAACTTTATATAATGTATTGTCTTTATATTTATTTCTATTTTGTTTTATTTGTAGTATTCTGAAGTTAAGTCATATTATTTGGCATAAGCTTCTTTGATCCTAGAGCAGTTGGATTACAGATTTAATAGTGCCTTCACAGATCTTCTAGTCAGTCTTAATAGATGCAATTTGCATTTTCAGTGAGAAATTTTATATTAATTCTTACAAGCTCTTATTGGTTAGACACATTATATACTGTTGTATTATTTGTAGTTGAGTTTGAGGGTTTGAGGGGGGGGAAAGTATCTACTTGTATTTTCAAGAGTAGAACATTTAGAAGTGGCGAGTGTTTGAAATGGAGTTTGTAGTAAACTGGAATACTGTGACTATAGAAAATTAAAAATTGTAATTCAGAATTGAATGCTTATCTGGCAAAAATCCAATGGAATTCTACAATGTGTTGCTTGAAGTTTATGGGATCAAGCAATGGATCGTAGTATAATCTTCCATTGGGCTATTTGTTTGTAAACAATGTGTCATGTATGCAAAATAACCGAAGGCTAGGAAGGCTAAAAACAATTGAAAGAAGTGCCAAATTTATGGCAGACCATGAAGGAAAAAGATTGCCCAGCAGCATACGAGGAAATACGACAAATTAAGGAAATTTTACCAGTATCAGTATACCATATTTTGATAGAAATATTGTAGAACATTTGTGCACATTTGTACTGAATGAGCTCCTCATTGATGAATAAAAATTCTTGAATATTGTGATGTTATTGAAGGGAAAATTTGATGATGTGAAGGTGAAAGATTTCTAACTCGAATAATCATCATTGATCAAACATATGTAGAGACTTTGAAATAGACTTGAAATCACTGTCAGTCTAATGGAGAAGACTATTGTCTCTACAACTCCCAAATGTCAGTTATTGCAATCATAGGTGATCTATGCAGAAGATAACAAAGGAACCATTATGAAAGATAAAAATTTTGTATGAAGAAGATTGCAGAATATTATTATGAGTAGTTGCAAAAATTGTGTAGAAAAATGTGCCAAACAACCTATGTTACTGTGTAACTTTCTTATAGATGGGCTATTCATTTTGAATGCTAATGCAATTCTTATGTGGGACGATCATAACAATGTTGTTGACAAAATACCTTCATTTGAAAGTCTACACACGAGTCTCTCATACTTCAAATTGTTTATTATTCAGTGATTACTCATACCATTTGGAAATTGAATAATATTAACGATTAGCGCACAGGCAGAATTTGAAGCTGATTAAGTCAATACATATAATCTAATTAAAAAAATTAAATGATTGATTGTTGAAGAAGCTTGCAGTTACATGATTTCTGTGTTGAAATACAATTAGGTGTCAAAAATTAACTAGCGTTTCTTATAAGCATATCATATTTAAGAGGCTGCATATAACTTGTGAATCGCTGATAAGATGTCTGAGAGTTGCAGTTTAGTCATAGCTGAACTAGTATGTTGATAATTAATGATGTATAAACTTAAGATTTTCCTTTTGTTTTGTTCTTTGGAAAATTATATAATATAGTATATTTTGTTACTTTATTTTTATTTATTATTGTAATTTTATTGTCTATTTTAACATTATTCCTGGATTTTTCATGGAGAATATGCTTTTGATTTTAATTTTGAAGTATTTTAAATTAATTTTCATTCAGTGCAATTCGTTTATCTAATTATTGGATGATTGACATGTTTAATGAAGCAAAAGATTTTGTATCAAACCTTTCATGAACTAAATGCCATCATTTTATATTTTATTAAATCCCTTTTAGCTGTTAGAATTCTTATCTGATAATAATGAACAAGCTGCAGCGGATGTTCTGGCATTTGTTCGTGAAGCAATGCAGCGTTTTGAACAACTCAGGCCATTGATTTTAACTAAAATGTTAGAAGTATTTTCAACTATCAAAGCCTCAAAGTAAGTAAATAAAGTTTTAACTAAAAATATATTTATTATATTAGTATTAAATTTTACTTCCCTAGTGTTATTGCATGGTTTATTTATTATTTTTTTTTTTTCTTTAGGGTTCATCGCAGTGCTTTGTGGATCCTTGGTGAGTACTGTTGTACAGTAGAAGATATCCACAGTGTAATGACAGAATTTCGTCAATGTTTAGGAGAGGTATAATTCTTAATTTCATTAATATGTGGTTAAACCAATATCCTAAAATAACTGCAAACTACAGATACATTATTTTAAAGTTAAAATGAAAGTTTTGAAATATTTGATATGGTTTTAATATTTTCTTATATGTGATGTTGATAATGAAGTGTTTTACCTTAGAAAATATTTGAAAATTTTCTCATTATTGTTTAGATTGTTAATTAATTTAATTAATAAAATAAGTATCCCATATTTTAAAAACCAAAAATATTTCATAGTTTAAACAGTGGTTCCAGACCTTGTTTGTCTCACAGACTCCTTTTACTAATGCTAGATCACCCCTCCTTTCCAAAACTTGAATATATATATATATTCATTTAAGTTGTTAATGAATATATAAATACATATTCACTTAATGAATATATAAATACACTATATATATATATATACATTAAGTTGTTTTTAATGTGTTTATATATTGAACTCCAAAAGTATAGAAAAATGGGGATAAACTTTAAAACTAAATAAAAATAATTTTTATATTATAAATTAAATCTAAGTAAATATTATAGGAAATAAAAGGCTGACCAGAATCTTCCCTTCATTGAGAACCCCCTGCTTTAGAATATTTGCAAATATGTGATGTACTGTTATGAATTGGAGTTAAATATAAGTATGCAACTCATTTCAAAATGTAAAAGCAAAGTTTAAATGCAGGAACTATCAAAAATAAAAGTTCTTCTGTCTCAATCATGTAGATTAGTAGATCCCAGCTCTTTTTTTTTTTTTTTTTTTTTTTCATAGTTCCGACTAAGTCTTTGTAAATATAGAGTGTTGTTAACCTTCTCCTTTGAAATCTATGGTCTCTTCACTTCCATCCACTATTCCCAAAGTATATCTTATTACTCTATTATTTTAATATCATGAAATGAAGGAACTGCAGTGAATAAGGTTAGAAAAATATAAAATGTTCTTTTTTGAAAAAGAAATGGCAATTTTAAGTTTCCTTTAAAGAAATCTTTATTGTTGGGTTCTAAAATCCAGTTATCATTCTGATGTAGGAAAATAATCTTTGAACACTCTTGGAGTCTTTACGGGTTTTAAGGAAGGCTATTATTCTCTTTTTGAGTTGAAACTTATTTTCTGATTTAAAAAAAAAAAAAAAAAAAAAAAAAAATTATAGTCTCAAAAATTGTAGTCTTTTTTTTTTTTTTTTCCATGTACATGGTTCCATAAAAAAAAATCTAGCATTTTGATCATAATCAATTTCGACAAACACTTTGAAAACAGTTATGGACAGGGTTCGTAGCAGCCCTTAGAAGTGCTTATAAGTCTTTACATTTTAAAATAAAATATAAAGGCTCTTGCTTATTTTTTCTCTAAAGCACTTATTTTTTTGCTATTAGTGCTTATTTTTTGCTTTTAGTGCTTTTTTTAATGAACGCACATTTTCCCCCCGTACCAAAGCCAAAACTAAATAAAGAACTTTTCTTCCTTATATGGAATGTCAAATGGTGAATCATAATCCCACAAATAGCTTTTCACTGCGTTCTCTGCATTAATGTAACCTTTGGTGCATGTGTGTACAGACAGGTGCACGTCATTCTATTGGTCAAAGAATTACGAAATCGGTAGAAAATTCTGGTACATTCCGTATTCTTTTCCTCCTACCCAATACTACACACATTTGAATTTCTATCAAGATTTTAATAATTTACATTCTCGTTCCCTGTGGTCATTTTATATTCGTGTTTATTATGATCACTATGATTATATTATGAGCATATGTATGAATATTTATAATAATATATTTCCGGTAACTGCTGAAATATAGATAAACTTCCAAAATGGGTAAGTGTGTTTTAACACAGATTAGTTTAAGGGATAATATTCGGAATGACATAAATAAAGTGAAAGTAATCGAATAGTCAATTTTTTTCCCCCAATTCATTATACAGTATGGAAGTTGGGAGGGGGGTCTCCCCTTTCTCCCCAAAATCTTGATTGTTGAAACCGCTACAGTTCCCAGAAAAGCAAGCAATGGACTTTTTTTTTGGTCACTTTCCAATCTGGATTGAATAGGACTAAAAGTTGTGCGGTCTATCAACCCAAGCGAAGAATGATTCTATTCAGGAAATTTAACGCAGTCTGTTCAAAATTAGAATGAAAAACACCCCAGATTGGTGAGTCTCTTTCTCAATCAATCAATCAGTATGTGTATGGCAGTATCAATCAGTATGTGTAAATGCTTAGTTTTTTAACTGAAATGTAGCTACTTACCTTGTATGGAACTGTTCTGTAATTCTAAACCGAGTTTGGTTTTGAAAAATATTGGGCATTTATATAAATCTTGGAAGCCATTCCGCATTGTGAAATATCAAGCTTAACTGAAATGGGTAATTTTCGGAAAACTGCATGGTGCTGCACCAAATCAAAGAGATAATCTATGGAGTATTTTCAGTTCTGAGTGAAAGTTTACTTTTTTAACCACTTACCCATTTTGATATAAATAATTTTAAAAGAACAGAAATTAATCTAAAACAAAAGTCCAAAGAACACAAATTAATATAAAAGAAAAAGTCCACACTCAAACTGAGTTGAATATTACAGTTGTAAAGAAAGATAATTATACTTAAAGACAGTTTTGAAAGTATGGGTGGCTGTCATTTGTTTTATACAGTATGCAGTAACTCTGTGGGAGGATAATGTTTGCATGCAAAGCATAAGAAATCGAGTAATATGACAGATATGGGCAGGGCTAGTTAGACTTAAGTACATTGCTTTTATATAAATTTCAGTCATTAACCCATCTTGTGCAGTTGTTTTTCCACCAAACTCTTGCTGGGTAGCGGGGGATTTTTTGTAATTCATTCACAAAATAACTGTAGTGTTTTTTTTTTTAATAAAACTTTTAGTTTCTCTAAAAATCAGTTTCTTTATTCACTTTAAAAAAGTAAAAATACTTTCTCAAAAATCAAAATCTAAGATAATCAAGAATTTAAAAATGCTTTAAAGTGTGATGTCTTTCAAAACCCTTTCCTTTGTGCATGTGTATATTGCAAAATTGACACGTATACAGCATTACACAGCATATTTCTTGACGGAGTGCACGACATGGTCGCAAAGAAACTTTCTTTTTTCCAGTTCCCAGGATGGGTTCTAATCTGTTTCTTCATATCTATGGAGAGTCTCCATGGAGATTATCCTTTGTTACTTTTTTGTTAATGGCAGTTGTTGATGGTATTGGTTCTACTGGGTCTTGATCAACTTCTGATGAAATTTCCTCAGTAAGCCAACAGACAGCTATGATTTTAAAAGAATTTTGTACCTTATTTTCTTTTATTTCATAAATTATAAACAACAGATGAGTCGAATAATGTACAATTTATAAGGTACATAGCAACTCCTTTTATCCTTTTTGGTTGTTTGTCTTAGAATGGAATAACATGATAGATACTGGTCAGCTCGATCAATGCCTTTCATGTACTTATTATAGTCAATCAGCACATTAGGTTTAATTATTTTTTTCTTTCTGTTTCTGTCAATAATATGACTTTAAATTTTAGATGAATATATTGTCAATATGAAAGTTTTCTTTAATTGCCATACTTGTACTAAAATGTCTCTTTTTTCTTCTGAAAGCCATTTCTCCTCTTTTCAGTGAAATAGTTTTTAGGCAATATGGAAATTGTCTGTTTTTCAGATAGTGTCACAAATTGTAATTTTATTTTGTAATAGCCTTTCACAATTTTCCTGTCTATTGAAATAGCTATCCATGTAGATATAGTGCTACGAATCTGTATGGGGGCAATACAACCATTTGAATTGTTTCTATCAATCACATTCCTTGAGCACAATATATTTTGAAATGACACATGTGGCCTGTAGTACATTTGCACAATATAGGAAACATAATTTCATATTTTACAGTCTTTAATGCATTCTAAATTCTGAAGAATAAACCTTTCCTCCAAAGCATTATGCCTTCATCCAAAGACAAGTGAACTTGGGAGCAAAGTAATTCAGTATTGTTCTGTCTTTTGAAAGCAGTCATCCATCAGTCAAATCTTCATTATTATTAAAGTCCTAGTCCTCAAACAACATATGAAATATATCTCTTGTCATTATTTTCAGAAAAATTGATGTTTCTATTGATAGATCCATGCTTCAATATTCCCGTTTTCAGTCCTTATGCACTTATGAATAGTCTTGTCTTGTAATGGGTTTCCATTTGAAAGCTTTCTTGGAAGTTATGACTTGACTCCTCTACAAGGAATGCAGAAAAATCATTGCCCGAAACATTTTCTGTATTAATTCCTGAGCGACCTAAAAACTCTTCCAAAATTTTTTTCGCATTTACTGATAACTGTTTTCTTTGAGAATCAAAGTCATCCAAATCCGGTCTTGAATCAGAACTGCTTGAAATTCTTCATTGCATAATAGTCCTAGGATGATTTATAATATTGTCATAACTAGAATCATCATCAATAACCTCATCCGCATAAGTCAACAAACTATCTACACACAATTTTTAATCATCACATACTGTTTTATTATTGTCCATGCTTAGGAATTTACTGTAAAAAAAAATCAAATTAGGCTGGGAATGTACGAGTACTAAATTGATTCTCCTAGCGATGAAGTTCAATTATGCGAACATATTTGTGAACAACATTTTAGCAGCATACGCTTGGTAAAATTGTCAGCTGTATAGAGTGCATCCATGCATAGCTAAAGCTCCAGTGTCAAATGCTACTTTGTCATAGCCTAACAGCATCAGTAACATGCATTCATACGAGTGCATTTTTGCAATGCACATTTTGACTTTGAAATGTATGGCCGTTGACCGACTGTGGACTCCACCTAATTGTAAAAACATTGCAACTACCCATCGATAACAATAATCCATTTATAATTCATAGAAAACAACTTTTGTCTTTACCCAGGCTTGATTACTAATCCACGCAAAACAACTTTAATTGCTTCTCATGCTCAACTACCAATCCACACAAAAGAACTTTAGTCACTTCCTATGCAAAATGTATTAACAGTCACATGAAAAGTCCTGACAACTAAAGTCCCGTTTATTCACTGAGAAATTTGAGATTTGAGATTATTTTGCATATTATGAACTTTTTTTTTCCAATGGCAGATTGTGAGCAATTACAAATGTAATCCAGTCCATTAATCTATACAAGGCCGGATGTGGTGGTCTCTTTATTATGGAGGCACCTAATAGGTGGGCCACCATCGCCTTTCCTTTGAAGGGATGGACAGTTACAACCATGCCTTCTCCGGGGTTCGAACCCAGGCCCTTTGGCATCGCAGTCAGCTTTCCTAACCACTATACCGACTGGGCGGCTTACTATTATGAACATTTATTTTCAACATTTTATTTCCTTCCATTACTGATCTTTTTAGCATAGCCTTAGGAAGCATACCACAGACTGGGAACAACTGCTGTAGATGATTTGTAGTGGTTTAACATTACCATCAGGATAATATATATATATATAAAGAAATAAATTTAGAACCAATTTTTCACAAAGACCAAAAATTGAAATTAAAATAAATAAATTTCGAAAAGTTTTATAAATGTAGGAATAGAGTTGTGTAAATGTTTAAAGAAATATTGAAATAAACCATCACAAGAAAAACCAAAAATAAATAAAAAAAGAACATGAAAGAAGAGGATTCCATTCAACTTCAGCATAAAGTCATCAGGAGGAGGATACATCAAAATTAATTACAATTCCTCTTCCTAAGAAAATCTTTGCTTTTCTTTATCCAGGATTAGCTGATGAACCATTTCAATATTTTTTAAAATCTTAACAGTTCGCATGAAAAATCTGGTTCTCCTCAAAGCAAAGAAAAATGGCAAAAATACAAAGTAAAATCATTAACGAAGATCTTCCGTTAATTTAAAATAAACCATTGAAAACTTACCCATAATACATAGAAAAAATCTTTAAAAGGTTCATTCTGTTAAAATTAATTAATTGTGGATATTCATTTGCATGAACTATTTATATTTTAAGTAACTTATTTACTACAGTACAAAGTAACTTATTTACTACATTACGAGTTTCATTTTCAATTATTTATTTATTTGGGAGGGTTATTAGAGGGATCATTTTCCAGACTGGCTCATGAAAAAATGGTTACCCTAAGTTTGGCATGTCATAAGACGATGAAGGATAAATATGTTCAGGATAATGAAGTAGTACAATATTGTTTTATTACCCTTTGTCAACATGCATGAATAAATGTATTCGAGCTGTTGGCAAATCTTCTCAGTTTGAAGGATGAGTAAAACTGTACTCAGTGCATGATGTATGTATTCAGTGCATTTTTTCATTTCAGAACAGGCATTTCTTTTTTTTAAATTTTTTTTGTGACAGCATATTTGCACTAAAAAGTTTCAGCATTATGGATTTGGGTTTAAAGGATGCTGATCTTGCATATCAATTATAGCAGTTTCTGTGACATTGATTTGTAAACTTTTTATTGAAATTTTCTGTTTAATATTGATTAATATAATTAATTTCCATGTGAAATTTTCCATATGATTTAAAATTTTCACCAGAAGTCATTTACATGAATTATTTCTGTATTGTATTTTCACAGAACAAATATTAAATTTTAAGTTACTCTTTCACTATCTGTGTATGTAAAATAAGAAATGCAATATCTAATAAATTACTAACTTAATTAGCAATAGCTCTTTAAATTTTTTCTTTAGATATTTATATGTCCCCCTCCTAGCATCTAAAAACAGTGCATAAAATTTCTCTTCACTGCATCTTTTCTAAACTAATCTGTATATATGACTTAATAACACTGATGACATAACAAATTTGAAATCTAAGCCAAAACTTTGATGTAACTAATTTATAACTTGAACTCAAAATTTCAAGAACTGAAATCTTTCTGTTAACAGGGTGCCATATTGTATAATGGCATACTTTTTTGCTTCTAGCTGTCTGGCTGTTAAAACACTTGTGTGCTACTTTTCTTCCTGTCGCAACAGTATAAAAAATGCAAATAATCTTGAAAAGGCACAATTAGAGTGCCATATGGATTTTTGCCGCAAATGTCAATTGAAATAAAAGCGAATATTTAATCTTCCTCAGCTGTCAAGTTTGCTGTTCATTATGTACACTGGTTATCATAAATTAAGGAAAAATCACAAAAATAGCGATAACTCCCTCAAAAATAGGCCAAACCGTGTAAAATTTGAATATGTTGCCAAGTAAGAGTAGCTGAGTAAAACTCCAATATGCAAATTAGTGGTGCTGCACTCGGAATTCATCATCTGTGAGGAGCATAAAAGTCCATGTTTGAGAGCAAGCCCACATATTTCACTGTGATAGTGACATCAGAAATCTGAGATAGCCGATTTGTAACAATGATCTCCAGACATCATTTGCCTGCAGGACTATGATAGAAAGCCATTGGGAGACTAGAGGCAGGACAAAGTCAAACAGAAGTGGCAAGATGGCTAAATGGGAGTCTTTCTGTGGTTCATAGACTTTGGAGGCAATTTCAAATCACAGATTCGGCACCTAGGAGGTTCAGCCAAGGACGGCCAACTGCTGCAACGAGCACCGATGACCTATATTTGATATTATGTGCACTCAGGAATAGAATCCCTACTCCGACACGCACAGACCTCCATGTCTTTCCAGGGGGAACCGTGAATGCTCAGATTTATAGAGATGACATCCTTGATGTTTATGTGCACCCATAGCCGGGGCAATAGGTGATGCTTTCCTGTTACAGGACAACAACGCAAGACCACACAGGGCTCACATCGTAGATCATTATCTTCAACAGGAAACAGTTATGCGCATGGAGTGTGGTCAGCTCAATCACCAGATTTGAATCCTATCGAGCATATTTGGGATGCTTTAGGGAAACGTCTAGCTGCTTTCAGTCCGGCCCCTCAGACCCTTGTCGTGCTTGCAACTGATTTGCAAGAGCAATGGCTCTCGCTTCCTATGGAACTGATAGACCGCATAATTGAAAGCATCACACATCGCTGTATGTGCTGTATTGCTTCTAGAGGCGATCATATTCCTTATTGAAGGTACTTTTCCTGTAGCAAACTGACACCTTCGATTTGCTCATTTTATACATGTGCTAATTTCTATACTACCATAATTGCCTGGTAATTTCTTTTTATGGTATTTGATACCTTACTATGTGTTGTATATTGTGGGTAAGTTTCATAAAATTCTACATGTAACTTTTTCAGTAATCGTGATTTTTCCTTAATTTATGATAACCAGTGTATTAAACATTCTAGGCTGTCAATATTGCAAAGTCTTTTTCATTATATATGTGTGTGTATCTGTGTATTTCCCCCTTTTCCAGATTCCAATCGTTGATGATGAAATGAAGAAAGCATCAGGAGAAAGCAAAGAAGAGAAGGATACTGATGTGGCTATGGTTGCACCTGTGCAGAAATTGGTGACTGCTGATGGCACATATGCTACACAGAGTGCTTTTAGTGCTGCGCCATCTGTAGCAAAAAGTATGATTTAATTTTAAATAATTTCTATAAATTCATCAACATCCTTTGTCGATATTAGCATGTATAGTTAAGACATTTATAATTTGAATGTTTCTTACTTTTTTGTCAGTAAGTTAGTAAGGAAGAGTTATAATCTTAAATTTAATTAAAACTTAATCCAGTAGTGTTAAATAATTTTAAGTATAATTAGGAATAAATTCACTTTTATATCAATTTTCATTAATTATTAAATTATAAACCATAAGTAAATATTCATTAATTTTAGATTTTTAGTTTAGTAATGTTACTTGGATCGACATGTTTATATATATATATATTTTATTCTTTCAAAGTTTTTTATTGGTAGCAAAGCTGAAAGAGAGAGAGGTATTAATCTTTAATATATTTTGGTAGTCTTCATATAGTAGACTATTTTATAATGGAAATATGCAATATCATGGGATAGCATACAGTATGAAATATGTTGACTAGTTTTGGAAGAAGCTTAAAAACAGACTTAATATAATGCAATAAAATGATTATAATAATAATATAAAAAAAATGGCCAGTTTCTAAAAAGCATGGGAATTTGAAATTTTTGTATGTGGGGTCAAGTTATCAAGAAGATTTGTTCTTTATTCTAGACTTAGTAAATTTGTGTTTTTAATTTTTTAATTTTTTTAAAGTGTAAAAAGAGAGCAGCATGTGCATTGTTAAGTTGCTCTTAAATTAGTGTAGAGCCTCACCAATGGCCAATTGGTTAAGATCCCTGAATACTGGGAGTTCAGCTCAGGTTTGATCCCAGGTGAATAGACTGGCTGCGTGGCTGGTTTTCCTTGTGTGTAATGTGAATACAAGCCAGTTTCCCATAGAAAATCCTCCATAAAAGCATTTCTTTTCTTAGGCAGATAGCCGTCAAATATTTAAAATTTTTCAAATAACCTAATCTTAATTTAGAGGAATGTATTCAACTTGAATATTGTTTAGTATTTTATTATTTAATTTCATTTAAAGAAGGAATACGTTTATTTTAATGGGACAAGAACTAAATTATGTGTTTTATTTTAAACAAACTTTTTTTAACCACAAGGAAAATAAAATCAAGTTTATTAAGTTTTTATAGGTCTTAACCTAAACAAAAGTCAATTTCATTGTTTTATATTTGTGTATGTTTAGGCAAATAAATAAAAAAAAAAACTACTGTTTAAATTTCTCACATTTCTCACTTTTTTTTTTTTTTTTTTTTTTTGTTTTGAAAATAGAGATATTGTGTTTAATTGTGAATTAATATTTGTTGAACTAAAAAATACTAAACAGAAAAATTCTTTTATTTGTGTTACAGTAAATACAAATTTAGCCTGCATTAAGAACCATAATTATCTGGAATTTTTTTTTTTTTCTTAATGTCTTGATAAGCTGCAATCTCTGTCCTTAATACTTAGATCTCCTCTAAATAATTTGAATTCTGTTGCATATGCAAATACTTTTAATTGTGATTTATTTAATTTTATGCAATGTAAAATGTAATGTACATTATAGAGTAGAACAATAAAGTCTCTAGTAACAATAGAACATTTAAAATAAATTTATTCTGTTAAACCAAATTCTTAAAATGACAGTTATTTATAAACATATTATGTAACAAATTGTAGAATATGAAGAATTAATACTGAAGTAAATTAAAATATAATGTATTAAATATATTTTTAATAAATTTGGAATATTCTATGATTACAGCTGAGAAGAAACCTCCACTGAGAGGATATTTAATGGAAGGAGATTACTTCATTGGGGCTGCAATGTCATCTACATTAGCTAAATTAGCACTTTGTTACATCACCCTTGTTCATGATCCTAAAAAGCAAAATGTAAGTTTGAATTGTTTGGTAATTAAGCATTTTAAGTAATTTTATTTAAATTTATTGTAGCATTTTTATGTTAAAATGCATTTTCTATTACAGGCATTCATTGCCGAAGCTATGCTTATTATGACTTCAATCATACATTTGGGAAAGTCTGGATTGGCTGCTAAGGTTTGTTTTCAATGATTTTTACTTCTTATGATATTATGTAAGTAATTGGGAGAATTCATTGTTGTTGGATATAAGTTTATTATAGCAAATATGTATTGTATAGGGTGCTTTGTATATTTTATTCTGATCCTTTTACAAACATTTTATCATTGCTGCCAAGTTTCCTGGTTTTTCATCACATCTCCCGGTAGATCACTGAATTTCCTGCTTTGTAATTTTTAGCCTTTACTAACGATAATATTTCCCTATAATAAGTGAAATTTATCGAATTAATGGAACAAATAGTGCAAATTCTGTTCCCCAAACCTTTCCTCACTTTTTTTTTTTCTCTTTAAACTTTATTTAATGTGAACTGATTAGTTTTATTTTCATCGTATTTAAAGGTACTTAATAAAAACTTTCCTTCCCTACTCAGGACTTTCTTAGTATAAAAGTGTAAGAAAATTACAAAATAAAATTAGCAAAAGGGGGGGGGAATTATCTACTATAGTGTGAATTAAGAGTTCTATTAAAATGGCATCACCACGCTGCATTTAACCTCCCCGAATTTTCACTTTTTTCCCCTGCAGAATCTCCTGGTTTTCTATATTTTGAGAAAGGCAGCTATGCCATTTATTTATGCTAATGTGCAGTTTTTTAATACAGTGCAAATTCCATAATCCGGACTCATCGGGACTTCAGTGATTCCGGATTAGGGGTTTTTCCGGAT